ACGATTGTTACGGTTAATTAATTTTCCTGCTTTTGAAATAATTAAGACGAAGTATTAAACGTACGTTATTCGAACTGAATATCGTTTAACTTATATTTGTTTGCATAACTTGCGTTTAGCTATATTTGTTTCCTATTATCAATATAATATAGTTTGTTACCAATTATTTAAATAATATGCAATTGTTAGTCTACATTATTCAAAAAAAGGAGATTTGAGGAGAAGCGTATATTTATTTTTATTAATACATTATTAATAAAAGTAAATATATACTTCTCTTCAAAGATATTAATAAATAAAAAAGACAAATAGATAAATTTTATATATTGCATCTTTGGAGTTTCTGGTATTTTTTTAAAAGAGTCTATTGTCTTTCAGAGATAAATCTAGTCAATAAATAATAATTCCAATTTATATTTTTCAGCGTGATATACAGTAAGTTAAGTAAGAGCGTGGTCGGCCTTATTCAAAGCTAATAAAAGATATCGCCCTAAATCTGTCATGAATCCATAGAAGGCATCTTTATCCTTGATGCATTATCAAGGAAGATTCAGTTGTCATTGAACTTTCTTAAGAGAATCGCATTAAGCGCCATGAGTACCAAATACGCATCATGCTACGAAGCGTGTTCCTCACGTTGTGTTTCTCTGCACTCACCCGAAAGGTCCAAAAATGTCAGCCGTCAACAATTAGCGGCTGCTAAATATAATATATGAAAAAGTCGAAATCATTCGTACAGACGTGAGTGCAGCGATATAATGTGGCAAAAAATGTCGATGATTTACCGGAACGTGGCTCGATATGCAAAGTGGACAAAAAAAGACGATAAACAAAATAGTGAATCCGTTTTCGCGGAATCCTAGCTTAACACTGCATCAAGGACAAGCAAAATTGAAGCGGAAAGGTTCAGATATATCGTATGGAACTATTCGAACCTATCTCAAGGCTAATAACATGAACTCGAACACGCTCTTACTTGACTTACTGTAATTCACATTCAAT